TTCTTGGGACATATGGACTGTTTACCTATGTTCTTCGGGACATATGAACTTTTTACCTATGTTATTCGGAACATATGGACTGGTCATTCGGGATATTTATACGAGCTGTGGTGACAACATAATTGTGCACAACTTTAATGTACTCACATACCTTAAGTTCTCAAAATTATACATGGGCTAATAAAGCAATAATATAAATATATATATTATATGTGATATGTGTATGTGTGATATGTTATGAAAAATGGATTACAAGGATTATAGGATGCTATATATGATTCTTTGTAAAATGATGTATGTGTTATATGATATACATAAATAAAAATTGAAAAATAACATATGTGCAGATGGATAATTGTTGCATGACAGAATATATGTTGCTATGTGTGTATTGTTTAAGTAAGAATGACTAAAGAAAAATATAAATGATAACGGAATGAGGTAAGGATGGAAATGATGAGTTATGTATGTGAATATATTTAATTATATGAAATATTTTATAGTTTTATTATATTTTTTATATGACTCACTAAGTCAATGACTTAGCGTGTGATTGTTTCACACGTAGGTTCCGAGAAGAGGAAGACTTATAAAAGTTATGCAAGACATGTCATTTTCTCCTTTCCAAAAATCAGATCAGAAAAGAAATGAATAGATGGTATTTTGCAATATTGATTGAGGTTAGCATGTAAATAAAGATTTGTATCCGATATGCTCTAATCGTTTTTTTTTTGTAAAATCATATGATTGAGTTTTGTAATGTTTTAAATGTATTTATGTAAATGGTGACTTATAGTGATGAGAGTTTAAATTTTTATGAAATTTATACATGTTTTCCCGAAATTACTATAGCAGTGCATCGATACACAAATTATATTCGATGTTTTTGTGCATCGATACACTGTAGCAGCACATCGGTACACTTTAACACTGTTCATTACTGTTCATGGTACTGTTCATACCTTATATTACTGCTCATAAATATGTTTTTGCCTTAAATTTTTAAAATGAAGAATAATTCAACAATATATTATCATATTTTTTTAATATAAGTCCAAATGTTCTATTATTTTGTAAGAACATTGTTTGATAAAAGTCAATGTGACATCTCGGACTCGTATCCGGGTCGGATACGGGTTGGGGGTGTTACATTAAATGCCCATGCTAAACAGAGGTATATTCTTGCTAGGATGAATAAACTTTATGTCGATATGATATGTTTAATAGAGACAAAAGTTCGGGAGGACAAGGCGCTGATTATTGTCTCTATTATTTTTTATGGTTGAATGTTTGTTGCAAATTACAATTACATTGGCAATGGTTGAATTTGGATGTTATGGAAACGGGAGCTAACCATCAGGAGGAAGGCTTTGTCGCGAAGAAGCTTGACAGGGTATTAGTTAGTCCTGCTTGGGTTGATATTTTGCCATCTTCTTTTGTTGAATTTCAGTTGTCTGATGTATTCGATCATTGTCCGGCTATCGTGTGGTTTGATAGGACTGTCCAAGTGAATAAACCGAAGACTTTTAAATTTTTAACTTTTGGTCCTTTCATCCAGAGTTCTTGAGCCTTGTTTGGGAGTCTTGGGATAAGCATGTTTTGGGGGATCCTATGCTAATCCTCTTCAGGAAGTTAAAGAGGTTAAAGGGACTTCTTAGGAAACTGAATAGGGAGTATTATAGTGACATTTCCGCCTGTGTTGTTGCACATAAAATCCTCATAGATAAGCAACAATGTCGTAATCTCTGGTAGAGGAAATGAGGAAAGCATTGCGGCATTGCGGAAAGAATTAGGTTACCTTCAGAAGTTTGAGTGTTTGTTTTACAGTCAGAAGGCTAAAGTTCGATGGATTCGAGAAGGAGATGCGGGGACTCGATTTTTCTACTCACCGGTTGCATGATAACTCTGGGCGTAAAATTGAAACTTTATGGACATGTCTTCAAGGCTGTGGGGTTCTTCACAAGCTTAATTGGTCGGAAGGATGCGAATGTTACTCGGTGTGATGTTAATTTTTTTGTGACATTACTCCTTGCCTAATGGAGCTACTGAGTCTTTAAGAGATTAAGGATGTGATTTTTCATCACGACGACGATAAGGCATCGGGGCCGGATGGGTACTCACCTTGTTTTTTCAAAAAACGTGGGGGATTATTGAGGCTGATTTTATCTTGGTTGTTCATTTTTTTTATTTAAATCATCATCTCTTCTCCATGCTTTCAATTCTATGATGATTGTTCTTGTTCTCAATTAATGCGAGCAATATGAAAGAGTTTCGACCAATTTCTTGTTGTAACATATGATATCACGTTATTACAAGACTCTTGGTTAATCGTTTAGCTTGCTTCTTCCCAGTTATGGTCGCGTCGAATCAGTCGACGTTTGTGAAGGGGAAGAATATCATCGATAACACCTTGCATGCCTATGAATTAGTGAAAGGGTATACTAGGAAATCCTTGTCTCTACGGTGTGCGGTTAAGGTTGACTTACAAAAGGCATTTGACAACCTTGATTTGGGGTTTATGATGGATGTTTTATAGGCCATGGGGCTTCCCGATAAGTTTTGTGGTTGGATTTGAATTTGGCTCACTTCCCCTTGGTTTTTAGTTGCTTTTAATTGATCTTTGGTGGGCTTCTTTGTAGGTGCAAGAGGGGTTAGGCAAGTGGATCCTCTTTCCCCGTATCTCTTTTTGTGCTGGCTTTGAACGTTCTTTTCGAAGCTTCTGGATTTTGCTGCAAAGAAAGGTATCTTTCAGTTTCACCTGAAATGCAAGGCCACTTTGACCCACTTATGTTTCGTGGACGATCTTCTTATCTTTTTGAAGGGTTATGTGGATTCGTTGATGAAAATTCAAAGTGTTTTAGATTGCTTTTATGCTTGGTCGGGTTTGAGACTCAACTTGTCCAAGTGTGAGGTTTATGTTTTAGGGGTCCCCAATAAGGTTCTTGATAACATTATAGGGAGTTTAGGGTTTAAGAAGGGGTATCTCCCATTTTGCTACCTTGGGGTCCTACTTGTTACTAGAAAACTCTCAGAAAAAGATTGTCAAAGCTTGATCGAGAGTGTAAAGACTAGATTGAAGCATTAGGCTAATAGGAGACTGAGTTTTGTTGAAGACCCCAATTACTTTGCCCAGTGTTGTTTAGCATTACTAACCTTTGGTGTAGACAACTTCTTCTCCCAATAGCTTTGGTGAACCAGGTTAATCATCTTTACATGGGCTTTTTTTTTGGAAAGGAAAGAATGAAGCTGGTGTGGGAGCCAGGGTTGAGTGGAATCATATTTGCACCCCTAAATCAGAAGGGGTCTGGGGTTTAAAGACCTTGCTTGTTGGAACAAATCTTGTTTTTTGTAGTTGCTAAGGGATCTACTTGCCCGTGGTTCTTTGTGGGTTGCTTGGGTTAAAACTTATGTTGTAAAGGGTGATAATGTATGAATGTCCAGCCTAGGGGGAGATTAGCCGGAGTTTAAGGAAAATCTTTTCCTTTGGGGGAGCCTACTACTGTTTTTAGTAGTTTGAGTAGTCATTTGGATGATCATGGGGTAGGGCGAATTTGGGTTGCGCTCAGAGACAAGGGGTCGAAAGTCTCATAGCATCGATTGGTTTGGTTCCCAATGTACTTTTTGAGACATGCTATCATCGTATGGATAGTGTTGTTTGATAGATTGCTTACTCGTGATAGACTTCTCCGTATGGGGATGCATGTGGATGGGGTGTGTATCATTCGTACTAATGTTGATAAGTCTCGCGATCATGTGTTTTTTTACTACTCTTTTTCGGGTTCTGTGTGGGAGAGTGCTTTGGCTATGTGCGGCATTCAACGTCGATCGTTGGGATGAGAGCACGAGGTGGTATGGATATGCTCTAACGTGCAAGGTAAATCTGGCTCGGCCACTCTGTTAAAGATTGTTTGGAATGCTTTCATTTAATTTGTGCAGGCTAATATTTATGGTGAACTTAGATATAGTTTGAATCCCTTGGTATGTACTGCTTGGGGTATTGAGGGATGATAGCCTTGTTTTTTGTTAGGTGCTTTTGATATTGTAATATTCTTTGCTTTAAATACAATATATACATTTTATCAAAAAAAGTAAAACAAAAATATCATATTTTTTTAGTTTTATTTTGATTATTTATTATGTATGAGTTTAATTCAAATTTTATTTTTGTTATGTGTTTTATTATGTTTATTTTTAAGTTTAATTTTCATAAAAGATTTCCTATATTGTATTTTTTTATGTTTTCTATTAATTTTGTCAAATATCAAAATTTCATATGATATTTTGTCATACAACTTTTACATGTAGCATGAATGAAATAAAATAGTATAACAATTAACATGTACTTATACCATGTACATCTCTCAATATCTTGATACTTCAAAAATAAACATATACTTACACCGTTGTAAGTATATACATCTCCTAATATTTTGATATCTAAAAGTAAACACAACTATATTTGTATAAATATATTTTTGTATTTTCAAAGAAATAAAAAAATTAAAAATAATAAAAAATATATTAAGTATTTGTGTATAAATTTTATTTAAAATATATATAAATTAAAAATAAAAAATTATTTTTTATTAACTTTCATGTAAATATTTTGACTTTAATATTGAGAAGTAAACTTATTAAAAAAGAAAATAAAAAACAATTTGGTAAAACATATATTTTTCAATATGATATTTCTCTAATCAAAGGTTGTAATTTTATATTCCTGTAGAACGAATCAAATGAGCTAATACAACATTCTCAACAATATGATAAGTAATGTAATATTCTGATAATTTTATTCTCAAAAGTAATCTTACATTCTGTAAACCAAACTATCCCCGAAAATAATTGTGTTGATGACTGTGTAATGCTTTTAGATATGACAAACATATTTGCGTGAGTTATGAAAAAGAAGTGATGCTAAACAAACTCCGATTTCAATATCAATATGTTCAATTTTGAGGATAGAGATGTTGGACATAAATGCTTAAGACAAAAACAAATTAAACGTAACTGTCGATCAACGATTTCCTCATTTCATCAACAATGGCACTTGGTTGCGCTTCTCGCAGCTTGAAGACGCTCTCGATGACGGAGAGCTCGGTTGCTGTGGTATCTGACCCGCAGAAGGCAGTCCAATCATTTACAGTCATTCCAGCAGCTAATACTTCACTCCCACGGTTGATGGTGCCGGCCACCAAAGGAACCTGAAGCAGCGTTGAAAGCTCATCCAAGTCTTCAATGGATGTACGAGGATGAACCTGCAACAGTCAAAAAGGTAAATAGGAAAATAAGATCGGAGAATGTAAGAGATAATCATCTGTGCAAGATGAAGACAATATTATCTCACCAAGCCGCCTCGGTTTGAAAAGGCACAGTAGCTCCCGACAAGAATATTACCGGCGATTGTTTGCCTGAAAACTTCTACACCGAGAACATCAGCAATTATCTCCTCAGTTTCCTGATCAAAGTTGCAGACGAATAAGCATAATAAGCTCACTGTAATATCTCAAGGAAAAGAAGATAAGTGAATTAAGAATATATCTTAATTAACTATTCCAGTGAAATACCGAAATCTACCCGGTCCAAGTCGGTATGCGTCAGAGCAACATGGTCATTGCAAGCTATACAGTTCCCAAGAGCGGATAGTTTCTCCTCTATGCGCTGAACAACAACTTGATCTGGTAGACTATTTCGCAAGTGTTGAAGTTCTTCAATAAGAACAAAAAGAATTGTATGAAACTTAAGCCCGATAACTAGAACAAATATAAAATATTAGCCTACTGAGAAAGGAATAAGATTAAAAACCAAACCAACTATCACTTGAAAAATCAAACTCAAGGATTGGATATATCTAAACAGAGGGATTTCTGAATACTGCAACACATTTCGCCATTTAGAGTAGAGTTGTTTTGCACTTACGTTGATCATAGAAGGCAACTAAAATGATAATCATAAACATAAAACACCCAAGTGCCCTATAACTTGACATGCCAAACCGCGGCAAAGTCCTAACCTATGTTACTCGGACTTGGGTGAGTCTCAATGAGGGTATATGTCATTTTCAATTTCTTAAAGTTTTCCATGTTTTGAAGGGTCTTTTAGGAAGTCCAAATATGTGTTGGACACAGGTGTCAATATGGTGCTTCAAGTCAAGGCAACATAGGTTTCTCCTTACTTTTGCTATATGAGAAACTGTCATCAGCTATACCTGAAGTTAAAAAGAAACAGCCACAAAGGGTAGAAAAGTTACTTCATAGGGAAACATCTATAAGCTTGCTCAAGGCTATAAAGGCGTAAGCAAGCAAGTGGAACAAACACAAACCAAAGAATAAAGCAGGAAAAATACCTCCAAGAGTAGGCTATCATCTAGAAGTCAGGACCTTCTGTCCCGTATAGATCATAAAAAATTTCAATGCAAGTACCACATTCTCTTAATCTAATGACCCTCATCAGATATTTATTCAAATTGAACCAAGGTTTACTAATTTTTAAGGATGAAAATTTCTAATCATAGAACAAACAGAGAGTAAGAAACCAAATTATAAATTGCACAATTGCCAATGTTTAGATCCCACTGAGTACTACTAACAATAGAAGCAACTTTAACATCGTTAATGCTTTGAGATAACTCAAAAAATTATACTTGATCGGTAGTGGTGTGAGGGACAAGAAGCCCATTCTTATTTCCTATAAAAAAGAAGAAGCAAAATTCACGTTAAACAAAGCCAAATGCATCTAACAATAATGAATAAAACCCAGGCCGGTTGAACCACGAATCAGTGGCATGTTTGGTTCGGTGATTATATAAAAATAGGGTAACAGTGAACCTAATCAGAAAATCAACTCAAATGTTAAAAATCTGAACCAATAAAAACTGGTTTTATAAATATACATTTCAAATTTTTATTTATAATTAATGAGAAGTAAAAGTCTAACCTCTTAACTTCATATTAAAGATCATAACTTAAAGTCAAAATGTATCTTTTTGTTAATTATCAACCATATTTAATATTTGTGATTTTAGATATATTTACTCCATAACGAAAGCAACCAAAAAACCATATAAGTTTTAAAAGATTAATTGATACTATGTAAAGAAATACAAGTTACAGCAATGTTATGAATAACTTAGTGGCATAAGCAGAAGATTAAAATATTTATACATAATCAAGGATGAATGAATCTTACTAGTTGCCATTATAAAGCAGTAACAATGGATCGGAGATGAAAACAGAGAAGAAGCTAGGCAGTGAAAAAGATAGATGGAACCGAGTTTAACCTACGAAGAAAAAAAATCAAACAGAGAAGCAAAGAATGATCATACAATACCTATCCTCGTGCATAATAACATATTCCAAGAACGAATGATTCAAAAGACTCAATGTCAAGTTCTACAACGGTGTAAATGTAATAGTTCAAGCAACAAATTTTCCAAGACAAGGAACTATAAGAAAACATTTTAAACCAATCAGATAGGATGCTGAAAGAAGACTAGCCTTGCACTATTAGTTGTTGTCAATCCCAAATCATATTTGAACATTTTCCAAACATTAATATTACTTGATTAACCAACATAAATCACATTAGAAAGTCATACAAGGACATATGTAGTCACCAAACTCCTAAATTTCTGCTCAAATTCAACTACAAACAAATGTCAATAGAAACTAAAGAAGATCCCCCACAACAATGGTTAAAAAAGTAGGAAATCAGATTATCAAATGCCATTACATACACAAAGGAACTATCTTAAAGGGAAATGTATGTAAAAAAAAATTAAGTCTCAAAATCATACATTTATTACTGAACCATAGAAACCCAGATAACAAAAGCAATCATAAGTCTCAACAAAGGAAAGTTACATTTAGACTGATGAAGTAAATTGCTAAATACCCAGAAACATATTTGAAGACACTTAATTTCGTTCGATGTTATATTGTATAGTATTATAAACTATATTATATAATTCTTCATTCATATTATATTTACATTCATTTACATTTTCTATTTTTAGGCCCGATAATAAGCCCAGCAGCACAAAGACCAACTGCACGTGACCCAGTCCAAGATTCAGGACCTGCAGAATGCTAGGGTTTCCAACAAGCCTTCCCCTCTGCGCCGCAAGTCACTCCCAAGCTCGCACGCCTCTCCCCCGTGCTTCTCGGCAACAAGCCATGATTGTGGACGTGTGGGACTCCAACCAACCACGCGAGAAACGGGCAACCAAGCAACAAATGGAAGAAATTTAGTTCAAATAGGACTCAAACTGTAATCTAAAAATAGTATTTTCTAGACTATAAATAAGATGTAATCCCCATTGTATTTTTCACGAGTTGATACGAATACAAGAAGAGATTACACCAAAAATACTAGAGAAACTACAAGGAAAAATAAGAGCAAAAATCTATAAATTTCGAAAGTTCATTCGAAATAAAAGGTACCTCTTTTTTTCTTCCTCGCGTGTTGTTCGATCTGCATGTGGCTTTTGTTGGTTTTGTTTCGTTGTTTTGATTTGAAAAACACGAAGAAAAATGATTTTTCGCCGATGAACAGGGGGTAGGGGTCGAGATGTTCGAACTTAGATCTACCCCCGAGGCTGCCTTTTTTAAAGAAACAAAATGTATTTTTGAAATGAGGATATTGAGAGCATTCGAAAAAGTAAAATTTTTTTTGGATTTGTCACCGATGAATTGCGACCGGCGCCGTTCAACGGTGGCCAGCGAGACGGCGCGGGGTGGCCATGGTGGCCGGAATCTGGATTTTGGGTATGTTCTTCATTTCTGAAGAACAGGCGAGAGCTTTTTTTTAAGCAAAAGGGGGGGGCGTCTGATGAAGTGAAGAGAATGGAAATTTTAAAACATGTTTTTGAGTTATATAGCAGACCCGTGGAGTTATTACGACACAACCCAAGCTAGCGTGTAACCCGCGTGTTTTCTAATAAAAGAGGGTAAATACCCTTTTGGTCCCCCTAAGTTTTAAAAGCCTATTTCAACATCAAATTTATCTCAATTTGGCCACTACTTTTTATTTTCTTTTAATTTGGCCACCCAATTCACTTTTTTCTTTAATGAATCCTTTATCTGTAATTATTATATTATATTTTTATTTTATTATTATTATAAATTTTTTCTCTAATATTTATTATAACATGTATATCTATATCTAGTATTATTATTTATATATATTTAATTATATTTTTCTATTTTATTTACTATATTCAGTTATTTTTGGTTTATTTATTTATTTATTTATTTTTACTATTATTTTTATTTTTTATATCTTAATATATATATATATATTATGTCAACCCCTAGACCCGGCCTATACGTTTCGACTAAGTCTAGTAGATCACATTATGATTATTAAAGACATTTTTCGAAACCGTTATTCCATCAATATAAAATCACATTATAAATAACATGAAATTATAAACAAATTATACTATCAAAATCCAACTCGTAAATATAGTACCAATAAATAATAATTTAATTTAAAACTTGTCTATAATTCAATATCACAATAAACCGAGCAGTATTAGCAAAAGAGTTATCATTATAACATCCGATATTTTAAAATAAGGTCCATGTCACCAAAATAAAGTCAACTTGCCAGATAAAAACATTACAATTTGATTTACTTCAAGAGATATGTTGATCCTCCAAGTGCTCAACCAAGGTATCTAACCAACAGTATCTGAAAGGGGAAAACATTTTCAAAAGGTGAGCTAGGCTCAGTGTGTCCCAACATTTCCATAAAATCACAATAGGTACAAATCATAGTCCAGTAATCTCACAAATTCGTAAAAGAGTTTAACTTTTTGAAAATCATAGTTTAAACCCTTTTCTGGTACACCATCAGTAGTTCCCAAAAGTATTTTCCATATAGCTTACTTTATGCACATAGCAAAAAGAAAGCCGACTTAAGGATAGGCTATGAAGCTTGTATCCTTAAGCCCAAGTCAATAAGTCCATATAGCTTACCCTAAGCACACAGCAAAGGAAAGCCGACCTAATGAAACATCTTGGGGCCCTCAAGAGTCACATTAGGCCCAGTTAGCTTGATCAGAGCTATTCCATCGTATTTCAATTCCAAAATTCAATTGCACCGTGACATAAATTCCATAAATCCAAAAACATGGTAATCATATACCATTTCAAAACAAAAATTAGATAGCAGCCATATTCCATAAATTGTCACATTAAATTGGTGCATCCATAAAACAATAGCCAATGAATTCGGTGTACCACATATTAAAACCAATAAAACAGTTCAATAATAAGTAGGGAACACACCTCAACAATAAGTTCAAATAGCAAATTTACTGATTGCTGGTTTCACCACGCTCTGCTACAATTTTCGAACGGGTGAATACTGGCACACGTGGTTTAACTGATCTAGAAGAGCTGGGTTGAGCTGTCAAACGATCCGGAGAGTCTCTTGTACCTTCAAACAATAATAATCTATCAGTCCCAAATCCTATTTAATTGTTCAAAGCTAGTCTTCTTAAGTATATAAGCATTTTTCGAGTTTGACTATCAATTTAGGGTATTTCGAGTCTGAATTTGGCCAAATGGATTGCGGAAACGGAATCAGGACGTCGAAAAATATAAAGTATGACTTTTCGGAAATTCAGATTATTGGTCAAAGTCAAAGTCAACCACTTTGACCATAGATTTGGAGACCTTCGAATTCGAATTTGACAAAACGGACCACGGAAACGGATTCGGCACGTCGAAAACTATCAGGATAGGTATACTCGGAAAAGATTAACGGTCGTTTAATGCTCGGTCAAAGCCATTTTAAGTTTTGGTCAAAGAAAGTCAACAGTCAACGGTCGGTCGGGTCAACGGTCGGGTCGGGTCGGGTCAACGGTCGGGTCGGGTCAGACCGGTCAAACCGGTTCGAACCGGTTGAAACCGGTCAAACCGGTCAGAACCGGTTGAAAACCGGTTAAACCGGTTTCCAGCAGCCACTCGCCCTGCGGCGGCGCGTGTGGCGCGTGAGGCGTCCTCCGGGGCCCTAAAAATCCCGAAAAAATTTCTAAAAATTATTTTGAGCGATTTCGAGATACTTACAACGATCGGTTCAAATTTTTGAACGGCGGAGAGCTCGATTTCAAATCGGCCGAATCTTTGACTGCACCACCTCCTCACGCGCCGCCGTCTACGGCGGACAAGGTTGACACCGGTGAACTCGGAATGGCACAAGGAACACGATGGTGCGGGAGGTGTCGTAAACAGAGCAACGATCAGGGGTGAATTTAAGATTTTCCCGGCGATAGAGCTAACAAAACCGTCACTACTTTGACTGGAAATTCCCAACGTTTGGCCGCGTTTCGCTTCAATTAATTTGAAGGGTTTGCTCCTCGCTCGATGATGAACACAACGGTGGTTTCAAAACAACGATCGGAATTCGGACGGCGTCGGAATCGAGTTTGGAAGTTGTGTGCGTGAGGAAGGATTTGTGAAATTGATTTCTGTTTTTCAAAACAGAAATCACGCATATAACCATTGTCTGCCGACACTCCATGGTTAAATTCAGGGCTTGGTCCCTGAATTTTCTTTAACTTTAAAACAAGCTCCAAGTTTTAAAATCTTTCAATTCAGTCCCCAAATTTTCGCCAAATTTTCATAATTAAACCCTCAAATTTTAATTAAATATTATTTTGAAAATCGGGTTGTTACATATTATTTATTTTTATTTTGTTTTCCTAATGCTTGTGTATATGTATATATTTTTATTGCTTTTTAATTATTTTATTAAATATTATATTATATATATCACCTAATTTTTCTAACCTTTTCTTTTTCTTCTTAGGCCCCTCCATGTCTCCTCTTTTGACCCTTGTTTTTTCCCCCGTGCATTAATATAGTGGGCACCCTTTATTTGTTTTCTTTCTAATTTTCTTTCTTTGCTTTTGTTTTTTTCTCCTCACATCATATATATATATTTATTTATTTTTACACAATATTTTATATCCCTATTATTTTTCTTAACTATTGCTTTTACCTATTTTATTAATTATGATAACTTATTATATATATGTATATATTCTTTATATTTTTTATTATTTTTTACTTTTGTGTATGTTTCATTTCCATTTTGTCTTTGTTTTTACTCTTGTTTTATTTATTTATTTATTGTTGGCTCTTTATGTTCTTATATTTTTTCCTTTATTTATTTTTTCATTTTATTATCTGTTTATTTATTTTTTTTCATTTTATTTGTTTTCCTTATGCTATTTATTTTATTATCATTTTCATCTTTTTGTTTATTAGCATTTTATATCTTAATCCAATTCAGTTTCTCATTCTAAATTTAATATTTAAGTCTTTTTAAGGGTTTTCGTTCAGCCAATCAGAGGTAAGTAATTCGGATCATATTTTTACCTTTTAATTTAAGCTTATAATTTTCTTGATTTATGACAACTGGAAATTACGTAATACCGAAAGGGTAGTTCAAGGGTGCTAACCCTTCCTTGACTATAACCGACTCCCAAATCCGACATATCTCTGGCACTATTCAGACCAGGTAAGAAAAATGTATCCGATCAGCCCATTTGTTTTAAAATAAATTTCGATCCTTTTTACTTACTTTTGATTATATTTTTCGAGGAAATAGTTGTACTAATCGTTTTCTCATGATATCAGCCTTTAAAATTTTTTCACTTAAGGCTCTAAACCCGAGCTCCAAACCCATTTTAAGTGGGGGTGAAAGCGACGCCTTCGTGTGAATTTATTCACCGTATGGGCCTGGCAAGTAACCTTCGAGATTCATATACCTTATGCCTTCGTGTGAATTTATTCTCCGTATGGGCATAAGGGAATGTGTCATCTCGAGTTTAACTTAGTCCATACAAGCCTGTGATGGGTTTAGGACTAAGGGTCTGGCAAGCCCAAGGGGGCACCGCCAAGGAGAACTCGAGTATCATTTTTTTAGAACCTAAACCGAAAGACTATGGAGAAATAGAGCCTACCCCGAAACCACATTTCAAACCCTAGTACATTTTTACCCTAACCATGTTTTTGTTCCTTCTTACTCTTCTTATTTTTCTTTCGTCATTTCTTATTTATTTATATGTTTTCATTTACTAATGTTTTTGCCTTTGTGTTTGTTTTCTAGCATTTGCATCATTACAAGAGGCTATTGATCCCTAAAAAGTATTTTTTATACACAAAATAATTCGAATTAATAGAAAAAGGTGTTGTAATACAAGAGATTAAAAACCCTGAGGTACGACTATGGTCCAAGAAGACCCAGAAGGAAAAGAGAGACAGTCTTCAAGGATGCTATGTGTCAGAGCTGGTTAATTATGCCTCTATCAGCCTAAAACATAATAATGTTCAAGAGCTTCGAGACATCTGAGACAGTTGGAAGAATGATCGAAAATAGAAGTTCAGCTAACGGTACGGTGACATTACGCTTTTACTCCAAATTAAGACTGATGAGCCTTTAATCAGAGCTCTGGTTCAATTCTGGAACCCGGGATATAATTGCTTCACTTTTAATCGGGAGGACATGGTGCCCACCATTGAAGAATACACTACCCTACTACACTGTGAAAATATCAAACTGGAGCGAGCCTACATTAAACAAATTAAAAGTCAGCCTTTTAAGAATACACTGGCAAGGGTTGTGGGAGTAGACGAAAAATGAGTAATTGACCGGACTCAGCGCAGAGGCAGTGGGGAAGGAATTGAATGGATCCACATAAGGCAATTAATGAAGAACCACGCTGATGAGTGGAAGACTATAGACCTTTTTGCACTAGGTCTGTACGGGTTGATTATCTTTTCGAAGGTATTGGGCTGCATTGACGCAGTCGTGGTAGAATTGTTTGAACAACTTCCGAGACAGGTTAACCCAGCACCAGCCATCTTAGCCGAAACCTTTCGATCTCTCAACCATTGTCGAAGATCTGGCGGAGGAAGGTTCGTTGGTGTGTTCAGCTCCTTCAAGTCTGGATTCACAACCATTTCTGGAAGACTAATAGGGTTGCCTACAGCTGATTTAGCACCACATATTCACCTTTAGGAGAGTTCATCACAATGAAATCATGAAGGTGCTTCAAAGGAAAAGTGGATGAAAGTTTTTATACATTTTTAGGATCTTGATATTACTTGGAGAGCCCCCTGGTTGTTCCTCGGTGACGTTTTTTTTCGGTGTGGGAATTCTGATACTATAACTTTACTTTGACTTTGGGGTACAGTTGGGTATGCTCCGTTGTTGGCACTGAGACAATATGGGGAATTTCAGTTTGTCCCCGCAATATACAGACTAATTAAATCAGAGTTTGTGTATAGCAATGACAGTTATAAGAAGATGATCAAGGAAGCAGTCGATTCATGGAAGCAAGTATTTTGGATGGATGTTGTAGCTACCAGATACATGCTTACTCTAGACTATGTGGAGTGGCGAAGATTGAGAAAGAATGATAACATCTCGGTGCCAGACTGTGAAGACACCCGAACTATGGAGGAACATCTCAGGCCTGTCCCTTCTGGAGTTGAGATAGCCAGGGCAGAGTTTGAAGCTGTGAATAACGAACTGAAGCAGAGGATTAAGGAACTTGAAGCTGAACATTATCAATGGAAGCTAGATGTCGACTCTCAGAAATATAAAGATGACAAACTAGAAAGAGAATAGAAAAGAGTCCGTTTTGAGCTCGAAGATTTGAGAAAGGGGTGTCAAGATAAAGTCAAAGATAACTCCAAGTTGAAAGTAACCTCTGAATACTGGAAAGACGAAGCTCACAGTTTGAAAAGGAAGTTCGAGGGGCTTGATGAAAGAGCTTGGAAGGAACAGTTGAAGACTGCTCAAAGGCGCTTGGCAGACAGTCAATATCAGAATCAGCGCTTGAGATTCTGAGTGGCTGATTTAGAGAAACAACATGAAAAGGATAGCAAGACAATAGATGAATTAGAAGCTATTGTAGACGGGTTCAAGAGGTAAGCGAACAAGCTTTAGATAGTGCCTTTTGATGGAGGATTACAGTGGCGTTTCCGTTGGGAGCAAGCACAACAAAGGGTGAGGGCCAGAGATGTAACCATCTGAGATTTCCTGGAACAAGTACAGAAGGCGGCTCGTCATCTTCACGGCCTGGCAAGAGAAGCAGGAGTGGTTCGACAAGGCATTCAACCAGTGACAGATGTAGGCAGAAGACTTGTCAACCTACTAGAAATTGTTAGGGGTCTAGAGGATTTAGTCCGAATGTACCTTTAATTTGTTTTTATTTCTCTTAAAAGATAAAACATTTTTGTCTGAATAAGGATTATTTATAATAATGGACACTTTTCTGGATCAATGCCTCCAAATTGCATACATCATGCATTGTATATTTTGCATATTATATTTCATGTTGTTTTTTATTTTGTATTTTCCATGTTTTTACATTCGTATTAACTAACAGAATATGTCTCAGACACCAAGCTTACCATCGCAAGCATTAGATACGCATCACCCACACAATACTCGAGCAAAAAAGAGACAAATGGAGGCCAGAATGGAGAAGATCGAAGAGAACATGGCAAGACTGCAGAAGGAATTGGAGGACAAAATGGCTTAGAACAGTCAAAGTACCATGGAGTTCATCAAGAAAAGCCAGGAATCCTTAGTTGACCAAATCGTGGCTAAGTTTTCTGGTTTACAACCACAAGCAAGTGCACCTGGAGCAGGTGCTTCTGAGGGGGTAACCATTTCTCCGACCCCAAAAGTGGTTGTCTCATTCGGGATCTTACCCAGACTGCAAGGTGACTCATCTGCCGCCAAAGGGAAAGCTGTATCTGTAACAAATTTACAGACTTCTGCGGCAAATCCTGACAGTCATCCGGACGACTGCCTTATCCCGGATTTTGACGAGGAGGATAAGGCAAAGAAGATGGAAGATAAGATCAGGATGCTCGAAGATCAGATGAAGATGGTCCAAGGAGACCATGATTATTATGGAGTGGACGCAATGGAGCTGAGCCTAGTCCCAGATTTGGTGCTTTCGCCAAAGTTTAAGATCCCGGAGTTCGAAAAGTTCGACGGGAATAGCTGCCCTTCAACCCATATCACTATGTTCTGTCGGAAGATGACAGGATACGGGGGAAATGACCAACTCCTGATCCATTGCTTTCAGGAGAGCCTGTCCGGTTCAGCTATCCGATGGTACAACCAGCTTAGCTGAACTCATATCAAGATATGGAAAGACTTAGCCAAGTCTTTCTTAGAGCAGTACAATCATATCAATGATATGAGATCAGACTGAGTTATGCTGCAGAGCCTGGAGAAGAAGCATAACGAGAGTTTCCGACAGTACTCACAGAGATGAAGGGATTTATCTGTGCAAGTTCATCCACCCTTGGATGAAAAGGAAACTAGAAAACTGTTTGTACAGACCCTGAAGGCACTTTACTTCGGGCACTTGGTAGCAATCACATCGGGAAGTTTCTCAGATTTAGTCATGGCCAGGGAGATGGTTGAACTGGCTATAAAACAAGGAAATATTAAGGGAGGTGACTCCAGTAAAAAGCCTCCCATGAAAAAAAAAGAGCGAGAGATCAACAATGTCAACACATACAACACCATTAAAGGTGTTACGGTCTCAATTTCAAATACAACTGCAGTTGTATCATCCGGTACTTCTAACCAAACTCAGAGAGAACCAATGAGAGAAAGGGAAAGGGAGCAGTTCGATCGTATTCCCATGACCTATAAAGAGTTGTATTAATAACTCTTCGACACTCACACAGTATCACCCTACCCAATAGATCCGATAAAGACCCCATATCCGAAGTGATATGACGAAAACGCCCATTGTGAATATCATGGAGATGTGCAGGGGCATTCAATTGAAAATTGTCTTGCATTCAAGAGGCTTGTACAATGAATGCAGAACAAGAATTGGATCCATTTCAACTCCGGAGCACCGAACGTCACCCAGAACCCCTTGCCTAATCATCCAGAGGCAGGAATTAATGCAATCACCATCGAGAACGACAGGAGAATTAAAATTTGTGTTTCAAAAGTTAAAGCTCCTTTGGCTTGGGTATGGAGCCAAATGGTAAAGGCGGGGCTTCTTACACCCCATTCACGTGAAATAAGGATTAAAGATGGTAACCATTATTGTTACCACAACGAAGAGGGGCATAATGTACAAGAGTGCCCAGAATTCAGATCGATAGTCTAACTCATGATGGACCGGAAAGAACTGGAGTTTTATGAGGAAATTCAAGATTCTTTAGAAGTAGAGGTTTGCGCTACCGGAGAATCATCAGACAGAAGATTTAGTAGGGGTAGTCCTTTGATAATTACCCCTAAGGAAAATATGACAGTAACAACATCAGCCAAGGTGGTGATCACAACACTTCGGCCTTTTCAATACAAGGACAATCGGCAAGTGCCACTTCCAAAGGATGTGATAGCTAAGTGGGGCAAAGACCATTTGAGCCATTCAAAGAAGATGTGCTAGTTGTCAATGAACCTATAAAGGAGGTAAAAGCTAAAGAGTTCCTCAAGATCCTGAAGCACAGTGAGTACAACATTATAGAACAGCTCCACTGTTTACCTACGCGTACTTCAATGCTATCACTATTTTTAAACTCAGAGGCACACCTAGAAGCACTGTTGAAAGTCCTTAATCAAACGTTCATGCCACAAGACATACCAGTCAGCAAGATGGATCGACTGGTGAACAATATTCAAGCTGATAATTTCATCTCGTTTTTAGATAATGAGATTCCATCTGGAGGAAGAGGCTGAACTAAGGTGTCACACATCACTACCTATTGTAAGGGACATGCCTTACCGAGTGTGTTGATCGATAACGGCTCGGCCCTGAACATGATGTCTTTGGTGACATTGAAGAGGCTTCCAATAGATACCTCTCATATGAAAGCCTGTTAAAACGTGGTCCGAGCATTTGACGGGACCAAAAGAGAGGTAATTGGTAAAATCAAGGTACCGTTGACCATCGGACTAGCCAACTATGATGTTGAGTTCCTTTTGATAGATATCATTCCATCCTATAGCTGTCTATTGGGAAGGCAATGGATTCATCAAGCAGGTGTAATACCCTCCACACTGCACCAAAAATTTAAATTTGTTATTGACGGGGCCTTAGTAATTATCCATGCTGAGGAAGATATCGTGGCAAGTGTTATCACGGAGGCCCCGTATATCAAAGTAGATGAGGAAGTGGTGGAATGCTCCTTCTGCTCCCTAGAGTTTGTGAATGACACGTTCGTGGAAGAATGAAGAAAAATCCCTAAATCCCGACTTTCCAAGTGCACCAGAATGGAGATCATGTAGACTTTGGGATGAGGTGCCAAGATCAGAATAGGGTTTGGGAAATTATTACAAGTAAGGATCAATCCAGTCCTTCCTATTTTGAAGTTAGATCAGTTTGGGCTTGGTCTTCAGCCCAGTTACCATGAAAAGAGGAAGGAAGTCCAAAAGAACCGAGAAATAAGACTAGCCAGGTTAACTGGAGGTGAACTTCAACGGGAACCCATGGCATTCTCGCCTTTTTACCGCACATTTAAGTCAGGTGGTTATGTGTTTAAAACCACCACATCCGAGTTAGAAATGGCTCTGGCAGATCTGAACATTAATGTCGTGACCACAGAAGATATTGACAATGATAGATCCGGGATATGCCCTCTGCCACCTGGGTTCGTGCCTAGCAGTTGGTCGGTGGAAGAACTACATGTGGTTTACAAGAGTCTTTCAGAGTAATATTCGAACTATCCCTATTTGCCTATTCCCAGGACAATAGGTGATCTTTTGTAAGGGTGAATAAACATTTTGTTTACGTTCAATAAAAGATGCATTTTTTCCCTATGTCCATGGCAAACAAATTTTCTTTCATTTCTTTTTTGGGATTCATTGTCTATTTTCTTTATTTCAGCACTACATTTCCATTTTCTTTCGAATTTGATTCTTGACTATTTCGTGTGGGATATTTCCTCACACACACATATCTTCTGTGTTCCTTCGAGACCCTAGATAACGATAATATAGGGATTGATGATCTTGATCTGAAAGTGGATTTTGAATCGACCATTTGTCTCGGGGAATTTGATGAATGCGACACTGAAGAGGAGTGTAACTTGCCTTTTGAATTGTTGAGAATGGTAGAAAGAGAAGAGAAGAAAATACTACCACATGAGGAGGCAATCGAAATCTTGAATCTGGGCACTGAAGATGATAGAAAGGAGGTTAAAATTGACATAACTCTCTCGGCTGAAGCAAGACAAAACCTGATAGTCTTACTTCAGGAGTATAGAGATGTGTTCTCCTGGTCATACCAAGACATGCCGGGACTAGACACAGATATGGTAGTTTATAAGCTGCCAATTAAGCCAGAGTGCAAACCCGTGCAACAGAAACTGGGAAGGATGCGACCTGAGATGCTTCTTAAAATTAAAGAAGAAGTCCAGAAGCAATTTGATGCCGGTTTTCTTCAAGTGGCTAAGTATCCAGATTGGGTGGCCAATATAGTGCCAGTTCTGAAGAAAGACGGGAAGGTTCGTATGTGCGTCGATTACCGGGACCTTAACAAGGCGAGCCCTAAAGACAATTTTCCTCTGCCTTACATTGACACTTTGGTAGACAATACAGTCGGGAATGCTTTCTTTTCATTCATGGATGTATTTTTGGGATATAACCAGATCAAGATGCATCATGAAGACATGGAGAAAACCACGTTCGTCACAATATGGGGAACCTTCTGCTACAAGGTGATGCCCTTCGGACTAAAGAATGCTGGGGCAACATATCAGAGAGCTATGGTGACCCTGTTCCGTAATATGATACTCAAAGAGATCGAAGTTTATGTCGACGACATGATTGTCAAGGCACAAACTGAGAATGAACATGTTGAGAACTAAAAGGAAGCTCTTCCAGAGATTGAGAAAGTTCCAACTGAGATTGAACCCTAGTAAGTGCACATTCGGGGTAATATCCGTGAAACTATTAGGCTTCATGGTCAGCAAAAAAGGCATCGAAGTCGATCCCGATAAAGTCAAGGCTATCCAAAATCTGCCTCCTCTACGAATATAAAAGGAGGTTTGAGGTTTTCTAGGTAGATTGAATTATATAGCACGATT